AAACACCAGCGGGAGCAGCCCGGCCGCCCCTGGGGCTGCCGCTCCGGTCGGGAGGCCTTTGTGTTTGGGAAAGAGCCTGGTGGGCGCCCTTTGCGCTTTAACATTCATGTCTGGCCCCTGGAAGCGACACTTTTTAACCACAGCTTTCCCTGCGCTTTTCCGGTCGGCTCAGAGACCCTGGCTTTGTCTCCCTAAGGCCTGCACATCCGTATGTTCCTTTAACACATTTTAAATGCGTGTCCATTGGTGTGAGAGAGGGAGAGGGAGAGGGAGAGAGACATCCATGTTGAGAGAGCATCACAGACTGGCTGCCTCCTGCACCCCCCGCACTGGGGATGGAGCCTGCAACCCTGGCCTGTGCCCTGACGGGAATGGAACCCTGACCTCAGGATGATGCTCCCCCACTGAACCCTGCCGGCCCCTGCCCCTCCTCACGGTCAGCGTTTAAGGGCCGGTCCCCCCGCTGCCCGATGCCGCGTGTGAACAGCGCTCAGCTGCCGCCTGCCTGGCGGGGCCAAGCCCATGGGTGAGGCACAAACCCTCACCATTAACAGAGGCTTCCGACCTGAGCCCCGGCCGGGCCCGGGGGGAGGGGGTCAGCCCGGGGACTGCAGGGGCCCCTCCCCACAGCGAGTGGGTCCAGGACCCCGGACGCCAGGGGGGCAACAGGCCAGGTCCTGGGAGGGCGTGTCTCTCCGATAACAGTCCCTCCCCAGCTGTTTTCCAGGTCGGTGGCACCAAGCGACCGCATGGCAAAGGCGGGAGGTGGAGGCCGCCGCCCGCAGGGGGGTCCCGGGCACGGGCTGTGGCCAGGCCCTACCCTGAGCCTTTCCCCGAGGCTGACGCGATGGAGAAACTCTCTGAACAGAGGGGTCTGGGACGTCCTTCTTGGGCAATGCCCTCAAACCCCACCCTTTCCCTGAGCGGTGGCCCTTTTTTATGGAAGTGAAACTACTTTAAAGAACAGGCTGTCCTAGGCAGAGTAACGCTCTGCAGACTTCCCGCCCGAACCCCCAAACCGGGCCGTGCTACCCCGCGTGGCCAGAGGGACAGCGCCTGCGGTGGACGGGAGGATCCTGGGTCGGGGGAGGACCCTGGCCTCCGGGGCCGTCTCATCCACGCGTCCTTCCACGCGTCCTTCCACGCAGGCCTTTCCTGGCTGTGCTCAGAGCAAGACAGGGCCGGGAGCCACCAGAGATGGGTGTCGCCGGCTTTGACGTTGGAGGGAGAGGCCGCAGCCACGGACTGCCAGAGGCCACTGGAAGCCGGAAGGGACAAGAACAAGTCCTCCCAGCCCTGGTCGGTGTGGCCCAGTGGTTGGAGCGTCAGCCCTCTGACTGAAGGGTCACAGGTTCAATTCCGGTCAAGGGCACATACCTGGGTTCAGGCTCGATCCCTGCTCCGACTGGTTTTGGGGGGGGCAACCAATCCATGTGTCTCTCTCACATCGAGGTCTCTGTCTGCCTCTCCCCTTCCTCTCTCCGTCCACGCCAACAGGCCATGGAAATGCCCTCAGGTGAGGATTAGCAACGGGAACAAAAGGGCCCATTCTCCCCGGAGCCTCCAGAAGGAGCCGGCAGTGTCCAGGCCGGGGAGACCCACCGCGGCCTCTAAGTGCTAAACGCACGTCAGCTGCTTGAAGCCTCGAGTCTGTGCTAACGCGTCGCGGCAGCAGCAGGAAACTGTCCGTGCTGCTGAGTGACCGGCCGAGCGGCTCTCCTTTCATTCCTGAAGGCCCTTCGGTAAACGGAGGCCGGACTGTCAGCGATTGAGCGGTCAGTCTCTCCCTTCACGCCGGGGCCTCGGACGGCTGGTGGCGAGATGTCTGCCAGCCATGCCCAGCGGCGCGGCTCAGGGGTGAGCGTCGACCTGTGAACCAGGAGGTCCCAGTTCAATTCCCGGTCAGGGCACAGGCCCCAGTTGTGGGCTCCATCCCCAGTGGGGGCGTGCGGGAGGCAGCCGATCCATGGTTCTCATCATTGATGTTTCTCTCTCTCCCTTTCACTTCCTCTCTGAAATCAATAAAAATATATTTTAAAAAGAAAGATGTGTCTGGGGCCCAAGAAACCATGAACTCTCCCAGGAAACCTGTAGGCTGGGTCACCTGTCGGCTGGGTCACCTATAGGATGGGTCACCTATAGGCTGGGTCACCTGTAGGCTGGGTCACCTATAGGCTGGGTCACCTGTAGGCTCGGTCACCTGTAGGCTGGGTCACCTGTAGGCTCGGTCACCTGTAGGCTGGGTCATCTATAGGCTCGGTCACCTGTAGGCTGGGTCACCTGTAGGCTCGGTCACCTGTAGGCTGGGTCACCTGTAGGCTAGGTCACCTGTAGGCTGGGTCACCTGTAGGATGGGTCACCTGTAGGCTCAGTCACCTATAGGCTCGGTCACCTGTAGGCTCAGTCACCTATAGGCTGGGTCACCTGTAGGCTCGGTCACCTGTAGGCTGGGTCACTTGTAGGCTGGGTCACCTGTAGACTGGGTCACTTGTAGGCTCGGTCATCTATAGGCTGGGTCACCTGTAGGCTGGGTCACCTGTAGGATGGGTCACCTGTAGGCTCGGTCACCTGTAGGCTGGGTCACCTGTAGGCTGGGTCACCTGTAGGATGGGTCACCTGTAGGCTCGGTCACCTGTAGGCTGGGTCACCTGTAGGCTAGGTCACCTGTAGGCTGGGTCACCTGTAGGATGGGTCACCTGTAGGCTCAGTCACCTATAGGCTCGGTCACCTGTAGGCTCAGTCACCTATAGGCTGGGTCACCTGTAGGCTGGGTCACCTGTAGGCTGGGTCACTTGTAGGCTGAGTCACCTGTAGGCTGGGTCACCTGTAGGCTGGGTCACCTGTAGGCTCAGTCACCTATAGGCTGGGTCACCTGTAGGCTCAGTCACCTGTAGGCTCAGTCACCTATAGGCTGGGTCACCTGTAGGCTCAGTCACCTGTAGGCTCAGTCACCTATAGGCTGGGTCACCTGTAGGCTCAGTCACCTGTAGGCTCAGTCACCTATAGGCTGGGTCACCTGTAGGCTCAGTCACCTGTAGGCTCAGTCACCTATAGGCTGGGTCACCTGTAGGCTCAGTCACCTGTAGGCTCAGTCACCTATAGGCTGGGTCACCTGTAGGCTCAGTCACCTGTAGGCTCAGTCACCTATAGGCTGGGTCACCTGTAGGCTCAGTCACCTGTAGGCTCAGTCACCTATAGGCTGGGTCACCTGTAGGCTCAGTCACCTGTAGGCTCAGTCACCTATAGGCTGGGTCACCTGTAGGCTCAGTCACCTGTAGGCTCAGTCACCTATAGGCTGGGTCACCTGTAGGCTCAGTCACCTGTAGGCTCAGTCACCTATAGGCTGGGTCACCTGTAGGCTCAGTCACCTGTAGGCTCAGTCACCTATAGGCTGGGTCACCTGTAGGCTCAGTCACCTGTAGGCTCAGTCACCTATAGGCTGGGTCACCTGTAGGCTCAGTCACCTGTAGGCTCAGTCACCTATAGGCTGGGTCACCTGTAGGCTCAGTCACCTGTAGGCTCAGTCACCTATAGGCTGGGTCACCTGTAGGCTCAGTCACCTGTAGGCTCAGTCACCTATAGGCTGGGTCACCTGTAGGCTCAGTCACCTGTAGGCTCAGTCACCTATAGGCTGGGTCACCTGTAGGCTCAGTCACCTGTAGGCTCAGTCACCTATAGGCTGGGTCACCTGTAGGCTCAGTCACCTGTAGGCTCAGTCACCTATAGGCTGGGTCACCTGTAGGCTCAGTCACCTGTAGGCTCAGTCACCTATAGGCTGGGTCACCTGTAGGCTCAGTCACCTGTAGGCTCAGTCACCTATAGGCTGGGTCACCTGTAGGCTCAGTCACCTGTAGGCTCAGTCACCTATAGGCTGGGTCACCTGTAGGCTCAGTCACCTGTAGGCTCAGTCACCTATAGGCTGGGTCACCTGTAGGCTCAGTCACCTGTAGGCTCAGTCACCTATAGGCTGGGTCACCTGTAGGCTCAGTCACCTGTAGGCTCAGTCACCTATAGGCTGGGTCACCTGTAGGCTCAGTCACCTGTAGGCTCAGTCACCTATAGGCTGGGTCACCTGTAGGCTCAGTCACCTGTAGGCTCAGTCACCTATAGGCTGGGTCACCTGTAGGCTCAGTCACCTGTAGGCTCAGTCACCTATAGGCTGGGTCACCTGTAGGCTCAGTCACCTGTAGGCTCAGTCACCTATAGGCTGGGTCACCTGTAGGCTCAGTCACCTGTAGGCTCAGTCACCTATAGGCTGGGTCACCTGTAGGCTCAGTCACCTGTAGGCTCAGTCACCTATAGGCTGGGTCACCTGTAGGCTCAGTCACCTGTAGGCTCAGTCACCTATAGGCTGGGTCACCTGTAGGCTCAGTCACCTGTAGGCTCAGTCACCTATAGGCTGGGTCACCTGTAGGCTCAGTCACCTGTAGGCTCAGTCACCTATAGGCTGGGTCACCTGTAGGCTCAGTCACCTGTAGGCTCAGTCACCTATAGGCTGGGTCACCTGTAGGCTCAGTCACCTGTAGGCTCAGTCACCTATAGGCTGGGTCACCTGTAGGCTCAGTCACCTGTAGGCTCAGTCACCTATAGGCTGGGTCACCTGTAGGCTCAGTCACCTGTAGGCTCAGTCACCTATAGGCTGGGTCACCTGTAGGCTCAGTCACCTGTAGGCTCAGTCACCTATAGGCTGGGTCACCTGTAGGCTCAGTCACCTGTAGGCTCAGTCACCTATAGGCTGGGTCACCTGTAGGCTCAGTCACCTGTAGGCTCAGTCACCTATAGGCTGGGTCACCTGTAGGCTCAGTCACCTGTAGGCTCAGTCACCTATAGGCTGGGTCACCTGTAGGCTCAGTCACCTGTAGGCTCAGTCACCTATAGGCTGGGTCACCTGTAGGCTCAGTCACCTGTAGGCTCAGTCACCTATAGGCTGGGTCACCTGTAGGCTCAGTCACCTGTAGGCTGGGTGGCCGTGACGCAGCCAGTTGTGCGGCCACCAGGTGCTCCGGCTGTGTGTGGTGTGGCCGAGCCCCAGGGGGCGTTTGGCCATTCTCAGGGCTCAGCTGCCCCAAAGCATCGTCCCCCCTATTGGGGAGTGGGCCCTTTAACGTTTCCCCTCTTTCATGAGAGTTTTCCAGGCTCATGGCGTGGGAAGGTGCTGAGCCAGGATGGGGCGGGGCACTGTGGGGTGAGGGAAGCATCTCCCCAGTCCGTTGGGGTTGTCCCTGGAAAAGCCACCTCCCCCCTGTCCCGCCGCCCCCGCCTGACCAGTGAGCACCTGCGCGGAAAGGCTTTGGGCAAAGGCGCCAACGACGCTCAAGAGACACAATGAAACCCGGAAGCCGGACGCTTGTCTGTCCAGCAAACACTTTCACAATGAAACTCCTCCTTCCGGGAGGCAGGGGCACAGGGGCGTGGGAGCGGGGAGGGGGTGGGGGGCAGGGGCACAGGGGCGTGGGA